GAGACCCTCTCTGTGAGCAAGCAGCAAATCAAGGAGGGCGTCTGAGTACCTGTACCATGAAATCATCATCCAGATGTTGCTGGAACCTTGTGAACCTCTTTGTGCCAGCTGTGCGGTGTTTCCAGCCAACGTCTGGCAAGTTTAGTCCCCCATAAGGACAAAGGCTCCACACCTGGAGGGGTTTCAGTCCTGTAGATGTGGTGCTCAGGGGCATGGCTCCGTGTTGGGCCAGACAGTGTTTGGTTCATGGCTGGACTCCATCCTTTCAGAGTGATTTTCAAAGATTCTCTCTTCTGTGGTAAGTGGGAAAGGGGTTTTGCAGGTCTGTCCACACCTGGACAGCAGGAGGGGGCTTGGGGTCACTTTGAACATGTGTAGTTATGGGCAGGTGCTTGTGGGAGAGTTACAGGCTCTCACTGGCCTTTTGGTCATTGGGACTGCAATGGGGTGGATGGAAAAGCTTAAAAATTGTGAGCTGGGATGCAGTGGCTTTCTCCAATACAACTGAAAACCCAGCCAGCTGGGACAGTCTGATGAACTGCTTGATTTGACCCCCAAAAAACCCCTGGGGGTGTTTGTCCCTGAACATCCATCATCCTGTCAGGCTGTGATGAGCTGGAATGGAAAAAAAAAAATTATTTTGCTAAATGATGATTGACATTTTAAAAGCAACATTGTCAAAGCTGTATGTCAAACAGCCTAATTGTCTAATCTGTATGGCTCCTAATGACAAGTTAGACTCTTACAGCTGAAAGAATTTTAAGCATCAAATAATTTATACATCATCACCTGGGCTATTTGCTTTCCACACTTCAGTAAGTGTAGATGAGGAGAGGAGCTGCTTGTGTTCCGAGGCAGTTTCACCAGTTTCACTCAGACCTGTGTCAGGATGGTGCTGTCCTAGAGGAAATCACAGCCTTCAGCAGAAGCTGGTTAAAATGTTGTGATGAAAACACTCACTTTTACATTAGGACTCTTTTTTTCCCCACTCTAGTAGTTGAATATTTTTTTCTTATATAAGACAAAAAGCAACCTGGGCTCTGCTTCTGTGTCACATTGGGGTATCAGCACCACTTTAATTTCAGGTTAGAATATTATGTGTTATAAATTGAAAAATGTTTTTTTACCCAAATAACCAGCACAGAAACAACACTTGGGCAGCAAACTGAAAGGACAACTCTGTCCCTAACAAGCTATAGCTAGCCTCATTTCATTGATTAGCTAATTGCTATTAGCTAATTGCTTGCACTGGTGAAGCAGGGCCCTATATGAGTGAGTGGGCTGCCCTGCCAGCCCCTTTGCTGTAGGGATGTGTTTTGGAGAGGGTCTGGGGAAGGTGGTGACCCCACATTTGCTCTGCCTGAGGGATTATTCTGGGAAGAGACAGGGAGTTTTTTTGGATGTTTTGTTGGTTTTTTGGGTTTGGTTTTTTTGGGGTTTTTTTAGTCTTATTTGATGTTGTGCCTCTGGTAAACCTTTGCCATGAGGCCTTTGCCCTCCCCGTTTATTCTGGCCCTGCTCTTGATGCCCTGGGTGCTGGGGCCAGGCCCTGCTGGGCAGGGTCCTGGGGTGATGCTGAGGCCCTGCTGTGATGCTGCTGCTGCAGGGGTGAGTGAGGGGCAGTGGGGACCGGGTTTCCTGTAGGAAACTTCCCTCTTGGGTGTGCTGTCCTGCCTGCTTGCAAATCCTTCTCTCTTCTGCATGGCCCTGAGTGATTAAAGCCTGACTGGCTTTGCTTGCTGTGGTTTGGGGCTGGATTTTGTATTGGTTGTGGTCCAACAGCACAAATCAGGCACAAATCAGTGCTTCTGGATGTAGGGAGGAGAAAAGGTTTATAATTGCATGGAATGAATGATGGGACCTTGGGACTCAGTCCAGGTGCAGGCAAAACCCCAACCCACCCGGCTGGGTTTGCTTCTCCCTTCCCACTGGGCTAGTGTTGACTTTTCTCTGAGCAGAGTTATAAACATTGGGAATTGGTATTTGGGCCTGCAATTAGACTCTTCTTTTTCTTATAGTCAATGGGATCCTCTCAGAAATATTGGAAGGTTAAACCAGGTAAGAATTAGTTCTCAGATCAATCTCTGGTTTTCTTTTTTGTTTGTTTGTTTGGGGTTTTTTGTTTGTTTGTTTTTGGGTGGTTTTTGTTTGGGTGGTTTTTGGTTTTGGGTAGTTTGTTTTGGTTTTTTCGTGAGTATGTTTGGTTTTTTTTTGTTTTTTTTTTTTTTTTGTTTTTTTTTTTTTTTTTTTTTTTTTTTTTTTTTTTTTTTGCTCCCCCAGGACTTGTTGGGTACTTTAAGCCACCAATAAGTAGTGTGGAAAATCAGGAGCGACAATCTGGCTGTGGGGTGGTGGGGACAGTGAGTGGGACGTGGTTGATCAGTGCTGGGGTAGGGAAAAACCAGTGCTGGTGTGGGAGATAAGCTGTGCCGCTATCCTGTGGCTGCCAAGTCCCTGCCACAGAGCAGGTCCTGCAGGCAGGAGCAAAGCACTGCAGCAATTAAAACAAGTGGCAAAAGTTCAACCCAAACTAAGTGTGCTCCTGTAGGGTAAACCTGTCCTGAACTTTCTGCTCTTCTGGCTTTGAGAAAGTGGTTTTGGAAAACGCTGCTTTTCCCTGCCTAAGGAGAGCTGCTTTCCACTTTGAGTGCTGTGGGGAGATGCTGTTGTTTGGGCTCTAGTGGCTTCTGGCTTGGCTGAGCCCTTTAAACTAAAGAGATTGAAAATGCCTTCAGGAGGGCTTTGTCTCCCAGCTCTGCATGTGCTTAAACAACAAACCTGGCCCACAGGCTGAAACCAAATGTAGCAGTGCTCTCTTTGCTTTCCTAACTTACCCAGCTGGGGCAGCTCCCTGAACCTTTAGCCCTGGTCCCTAGACAGCCTGACCTGCAGAGGAGAATCTGCCTCCCTGGGACAAGTGGCACCCACTGTGTGGTTGTCCTGGGACCTCTGAGCTCCTGCATGGTCATGGGGGGGCTTAAAGCAGGAGTGTGCCCTGCTCCGGGGCTGTGGCAGTGGGGGCACAGCCTGGCTCTCCATGGAGCAGGAGGTGGGGGTGGCCAGGGCTTCTCCAGCTTTCCAAGGGCTTACTCCCATGTTTTCCCACTCACGGGTTTCCATGTTGGTTGGCAAATGGGAGCAGGAGGTATCAAAATGAGGAGAAGAGAGATCCTGAAGATAATTTCTGGAAATAAAGATGGTAACTATTTCTTTGGAAGTGGAAATGGGGGAAAACTTGGTTGTTGCTTCTTATCTTCCAGAGCTGGAATCTCCTTGGTTATTGGCCTATGTGCCTATAAGAAGCTGCCACAGAGTGCTGAAGGACAAATATGGGGAGTTTTCTCCTCCAGCATTCCATGCTGATTTCCCTGTAAGCTTTTGGTGCAACTGGACAATCTGGGCAGGCTCCAGGAAGCACATCATAATTTATATCCGGGGATTTATCACTAAGGATGCTTGCAATAAAAATGAGGACAAAATTCTGTTTGAAGGGGTCTCCTCCCTGGTGGAAAACAGTGTTGTTTATGCCTGCTGGAAAAAGGAGATGCATGTTTTTGCCACCTTTGCTCAGGCTGTCCACGTCATGCTGCTGAAGAGGTACTTGCCAAACCAGAGAGATGCAAAATTTAAAGGGAAGTACTACATCTTCCAAGACCAGCAAGGTGCCTCTTCCTCCAAAGATGATGTGATTTCTGGAACTTCTGCTTCAAAACTGCCAAAGAAAGGTGGTGGTTTTCAGTCTGGCTGGGTTGAGAACCTTAGAGATGCACTGGGCTTTGCAGCCACACGTGGCAGCACCACCATGTTAAGCAGTGAGCGAATGCAGGGAAGAGGGATCCCTCTGTACACCACGGCTGTGGGAAGTCCTACAGAGCTTATCTCATTTGAATGTGCAAGGACACAAGCTCTGGAAACAAAAGCTCCTTGTGGGCTGGGGTCTGAGCTGCTGGAGTCTCCAGGCATAGGAGCACCTGAGGGAATAATCCCCACTGCAGCTCAGGACATCTGGGGGCAGAATCCCTCTGTGAGTGAGGGCAGTGCTGTGACTTCTGCTCCTGTGCACAGTGTGCTTTTGGAAACTCCTTTGCTTGGTGCCTTCCAGGGAGCAGAACCTTTTTGGCAGCCAGCAGGTGTGAGTCTGGAGAGCAGCCAGCCTTTCCTGAGCCCTACCCTGATGCCAAAAGGTCTGGGCCACCTGCAGTTCACCATTCAACCAACAGGCACGGGTCGCCTGGCCTTGGCTGCACACTCTGAGCCTCTGTCCCCTGGCACAGGACAAAGCCAGGAGGACACAGGTCCCACCAGGGACAGCCAGCTCAGCACAGCCAGCCTGGAGAAGGATGGAAGCCGGGCCCTGCTGAGTGTCCCAGCTGATGGCCTTGCCAAGGGCCTGATGCCCAGCCTGAGGAGCCCCTCTGACGTGGTCACCAGGAACCATTTGCAGCTACTTCCTGAGAGAAGCCAAAGCATTTTGGGGCGTTTGTCCACGCCTAAACCTGAACTGGGCACAACTGGCCTCCGTCATACCAAGCTCATGGATATTTTCTCACAGGGAAGTTCTGGGGGAGCTGTCAGGAGGAGAACAGCGCTGCATCCCACAGCACCAGGGCTGGCTGTATCTGCTTTGGCAACAGGGCTGGAGCATCCTCTCACACCTGTGCCTGCCCTGGGGACAGAAACCATCCCTGTGCTGGTGACCTCCTCCACAGCACCTGTCCCTGCAGACTTTGGCTCTCTGGATTTAGTCCCTGAAGCACCTCTTCCTCTACAAGTGGAGTCTCTGTCCATGGTGCCCTCTCCATCAGCTGCTCTGGATTGGGACCCTGTCAGTCTCAGGCAAAGGGACATCTCCCCAGCTAGCCCAGGAGGACAGGAGATGGTCTCCCCTTCACTGCCTTGCCATCCATCAGTAGCCTCTGAACTGGGCACAGATAGGTCCTCCAGATGCCTTGATCCTGGGAGGCAAAAGTTGGTGCTGGGACAGGGAGGTGAAACCACAGCCTCTGTGGGCTTGATGGCCAGGAGTCCCTCCCCAGTCTTTGTCACTGTCCCAGGGCCTCATGTGAGGCTTGCTCAGCCTGAGGGCCATGTCAGCAGAGGCTCTGGGGTGACACCAGCTTCCCTGTTGGACACCAGAGGGGTGCACGAGGTGCCTGTGCAGCATCAGGACGGTGCTGCTAGTGACAAACCAGCTTATGTCTCCAGATTCAGGGGGTTTAAAATGCAGGGGACCACAGAAGCTGTGCAAGTGGGTGCAGGACAGAGGACAGCCGCCTCCTTCAGCAGCACTCCTGCACGCCCTGATCTGCCTGCAGCTCCGTGGGGAGAAACACTGCCAAGAGACCGAAAGCCGTGGGAGCCCCCTGGTGTACCCAGCAACATCCACATGCCAGCAGGACAGCAAGGGAAACATGCTGGTAGGTGAACTAGCACTTTGTGTCTTGGCACAAGTCATCTTTAGAAGTCAAAAGTACTTGGTGGGGGCAAGGACAAGGCTGTGCCTTTCACCTGCGGTCTCCACCTGACAATCATAACCTGTTGTCTGGGGAGAACTGGGCTGGGGTGACCCTGGCTGGACACCAGGTGCCCTTCAAAGTTGCTCCTCAGCAGGACAGGGGAGACAAAAATGTGATTAAAGGATTGTGAGGGGAGATAAGGGCAGGGAGAGATCACTTATGGTCTACCTTCATGGGCAAAACTGACTTGGGGAAATCAGTTTAATTTCTTACCAATCAAATCAGTGTAGGATAATGAGAAATCACCCAAATCTTAAAACCAGCTTCCCCTCATCCCTCCCTTCTTCCCACGCTTAACTTCACTCCTGGTTTCTCTACCTCCTCTCCTGCCTGGAGGGGAGGGCAGGGGAATGGGACCTGCAGTCAGTTCATCATACCTTGTCTCAGCCACTCCTTCCTTCTCAGGGGAGGATTCCTCACTGGCCTGCCCAGTGCTGGGTCCATCTTGGAGCTGGCTGGCACTGAGTCTGCTTCATGCAGCCTCTCACAGAGGCTCAGCTCCAGCTGAAGTGTGGATATGTGGCTCCAGGGGCTGAAACTACAGAAGTCTTGCAGCAGAAGAGGGTCTGAAATGCTGCCTCTCCCGTGGTAGTTTGCAGCACTCCTAAAAGTCTGAGACATGATATAAAATGTAATATGTAATATAATTTGTGAATATAATAACCTTTGATTACATGTTTCTTTTCTGTGTTCCAGATGTGTCAGAGCTGGGCCCTCCCTGGGTAACAGAGTACTTTCCCATCAGGAGCTGCCACCTCATCTTCCAGAATGGGTCTGGCCTGTTTTACCTCCCGCTGCACGTGGACATTAAACCAAACATCTGGTGCAACTGGACCATCTGGGCAGGCCCCCAGAAGCACATTGTCATCTATGTCCAAGGGTTCCAGGGTAGCGAGGGCTGTGGCAACAACCAGGACAAGATCATCTTCCAGGGAGTCTCGTCAAGCGTGGAAACCAAAGTGGTGTTTGCCTGCCACAACCGAGGCACTCTGATCTTTGCTGCACAAGCCACTGAGGTCCAGGTGTTGTTTCTGTCAGGGAGTGCTTCCAGAAGCCATGAATACAGGTATTTTAGAGGACAGTATTATGTATTCAGAGACTCTGAAATGGTGGGCTCTTCAAGTGATACCATAACAGCTCCCCAGGAGACCTCTAAAAATGAGAGCTGGGCGACAGTGGTGACCAAAGGTTTGTTGTCCATGCTGACAGCTCCTCCAGCCCCACCAGCTATGCCTGCTGGTGGCAGGATCCAGTCTGACATTATGAGCCCAGAAGAAGTGGGCCAACATTCTCCTGATCTCATGGAAGATGGTCAGCCTGGTGCTAATCAGAGTGAGCATGGTCAGGATGAAACCAGGCTGGAAAGGAACCTTAAGGACAGTGGCAGCAAGGGCAGAGAAAATGAAGATGACGTGTTGGTGGAGCCACCTCCAGCTGGGCAAGACACTGGGGGCAAGGCTGAGCCACCTGCCTTGGCGCTGTCCCCTGGGACACCTCTCGCCACCATGGTCCCATGTCACCCAGCTGGTTCCCCTTGCTCAGAGATGCCCAGCAGCAGTGTAGGTGTTTCTGACACATCACCTACCCTGGGTCAGGCCAGTGGCAGCCCCTCAGAAGTGGCAGCTGCTGCACATCACACACATACACCAGGGCTGGCAGAACCACCACTGAACACCAGCACAAAACCACCTCGCTACCCCTCTCCTGGTGTGACTGCTGCTGATGTGGTGTCTCTGGGAGGAAAGACTGAAGAGCTCTTTGGTAAGGTGATTTTTTGGTTATTACTGGCTGAACTGATGCCTGACAATGTGCAATATCCACCTCCAGTGATGCAGCACTCTCTTGAGAGGTTTTATTTGTAGACATGGCTGTTACCTTCAGCGGGGCCATGTGGTACCACTCTTGACTCCTGTATCCAAGGAGGGAGAGACATGAGAAGACAGGCTTATCAGTTCTAACATGGGCATCTGTGGGATTATGCTGGGACAGGCTGGTTTCTAATCCAAGTGTTTTGAGTTATCCATGGAGGAGCCAGCCTCTCAGCTGTGACTTCACTCCCAGAGCAGACTGAGAGTGCTCATCTTGGTTTTAAACAGCCCTGTCTTGCACTGATTCCTCAGTAGCCTGTCACAGTGCTCCCAGGCATGATCACTGAGTCTGACCTGCAGAAGTTGGAGAAAGGTTAGAAAAATCCTTTGTCTCTTAAGAAAGTTTAGGAGTTGATGGTAGGTCACATAGGCAATATTTAGCTACTAATATGTTTTAATTTCTGCCTGAAAGCAGAAGATGTGTTCAGTTTTTCCTCACCCCCAAACTTTTCTTGCCCCTCTCTTGTAGATTTTATTCACGTTTTTTGCATTTGCTGGCATGTAATGCCCAAGCTGTTTTGCTCCACTGGGATGCAAGGCAGCTCTGGTGGTTTTACAGGGATAAGAGTTTGTCTGCTTCCAGAAATGGAAATGAGGTTTATTGGGGTAATTTCTTTCTAAAGAGCACTTTCCACTGTAGAGGAGAAGAGATTGTCTTCAGAGCCTGACATTTAATTTCAGTATGAAGAACAGAGGCAGGAATTGACACATGGCACTCTTTTTGCAAAGTGGCACAGACCTAATGTACTTTCTACTTTCCCTCCCCATTACTGGTACATCAGTGATAGCAGCCTGATGCTTTCCCTTGCTTTGACAGATCTGATATCATCTGTGGGGAATGACACAGGACTGCAATCCCGGCACCATCCTGGAGGTGAGCCATGCAGAGTTAAGCATGCCTTAAAATACTGCCCTAAGCCCAGGGAGTTGCCTCTGGACATCACCTGCTTGTTACATTTAGAAAGCAATGTGAGTTGTTTCTGAGTAGTAACCACTCTGAAGATGCTATTTTTTAAGATGTCACTGCAATCCTGCAGTTGTGCTTTGGCCACTTTGTGTGTCTCCCCTGGAGAAACCCGAGTTTGGGTGCCAGCCCTGACATACATGCTGGCTTGTTCGAGTCCAAGCAATACTTGTTGGCTATTTATAGAAGGTTTTTCTAAGATGAATGAACCTCAATTCCTCCAGTGTATTCCAATGGATGTCCCATGACTACCAGGATCAGAACTGTGCAGAAATCCTGCTCCTCAGACCAGGGAGAGAAGGAAAACCCTCTTACGGGAGAGCAACTAAACAATGTAAATGCAGGGTTTGTATGGCCCAGCAAGGCACAGAAACATCTTGCACAAAGGAGTCCATACAGAAGGAGCCTCAGCTCTGAACAAAGGAAATATTGATGAACAAATAAGTCTTAAACAGCCAACTGGCAAATCTGTGCCAGTCTGGATTTCAAGAGAAACTGGCTTTTAGACTCCATCAATAATTATGACAGTCCCTTTGGGAAACAGAAGGGCTAAAGGCATGTGAATGTGATTGAATATGTATTGGATATGTTGCTTTGTGTCAGTTTTTCACTGAAAGATCAATTCTAATGTTCATCAACAAGCATTAACTAAGGTTTGTGTTCACTTGTTACCAACAATTTGTCCTACCTGATGTACAGCCCCTGGAAATGCCCCTGTGGCACTGACCTGCACAAGAAGGTGCTGTTCTAGTGTTGATGCTTAAAGACTAACTCAATATGGGAGCCTGTTTGTCTTATGTGCATTTGAACATGCCATGATCCTTGTGTCTTCTGGCAGATGTGCTGTTTGAAGTCAGTGTTGAAATCAAACCCAAGGACTGGATTCCTCACAGTGGGAGTGAGTTCCAAAAGGGTCTCCTTGAATCTCTGAAGAATCACGTAAGTGTGGGCATGCGGAGGTGGAGAAGAACAGATGGGATGTCCCAAATCTTCATGTAGAAGAGACCATTTCATGCTTTTGTGTTTGGGGGAGGTGACCTGGAGCTAAGCAAATGGGAACAATGGGTATTCTTCTAAAGAAAGGGCTCAGAGCAGTGGGCTATGGAACATTCTCTTTGTTTGTGAAGGGGGAGAGCAGGATGGGGTGCTACAGTGAGAAAAGAAGCTGTTTGCTGTCATAATCCTACTGGCTGAACACCAAATCAGTACTGGTCACTCTGTTCCTCTGCAGATCCAGAAGAACCTGAAGCTTTCTGCCAACAGAGTCAGTGAAATAAAGTTAAGGGATGTCAAAAGGTAGGGTTAATGCTGTGCTGCTGGCTTGGCAGGTGACTGATATAACCTGTAATATTTCTTGGATTAGCAGTGTCTTGGCTTCTCACTCTCCTTCCCCAGGAAGAGATGTGTTTGTTCTTCTTCCTTGATCTGTAACTTGTCCTGAAAGTAGAAAAAAAAAATTGTTTTCTAGAGTAAAGATGGTGAAAATTGGTGTTCAGTATTATCTTGGGCCTATATATAGGTATAAAATGAATTTAAACTTTGGATGAAAAGGAGGATAATCTCACCTGCCACAGTGCCTGATGGAGAAAGCTGGGAGCTGTCTGCAGAGGCTGATCTGGGAATGCAGATTGCTGCTACAATTCACTTTGCACAAATATCTGGTCATTTCAGCCTAGCTCCAGATGAGGATCCACTCCTGGGCTTTCCTTTTCCCCATGGTCCAAGTGCAAAGCTGCCTCTTGGCCCAGATCATCCGTGCAAGAGCCTGCAGCACCACGATCCCATGCCAAGGGCAGAAGGTCCAAAGGGCTGTCAGAGCTGGGCCTGCAGTGATGTTTTTTTTCCTCCTGACTCACCCTGGACTCTCTCCTGCCCACAGAACGAAGGATGCCAACCTGCTGCTCACCTTCTGGCTGCACCTGGAGCCAGAGGAGAGGAACGTGTCTCTGCTCCTGCGCTCACAGCTGGAGGAGGTGCTTGGCACCTCGGTGGCTGTGGAGAAGCTGCAGCTTGTTTCACTCTTGGTTGAAGGTGGGTGCTTCACTTTATTTATTTATTTTTTTTCTGGGATAAACCCTTTAATGCCAAGCCTGACTTGACTTAGGGCATCTATTCCCCATTACAGATGTGAACGAGTGCCAGGCTGGGCTTGGCCTCTGTGGCGAGGAGGCGGAGTGCTTCAATGGCGTGGGCACCTACCTGTGCCGCTGCAAGAAGGACTATGAGGATCATTCTCCCAGCAAGTCCGGCACGCTCTGCATCCGCACTCCCCGAGCAGGTAGAGGATGGAACTGCGGCTCTGCTCCCCGTCGCGGTCTGGGGCTTTCCTGGCCTGAGTGAGGGAGCACACCAGGGCAAGGGGCTCTCTGCGAGCCGGGGTCCTGCACCTCTGCTGATGTGTGTTGTGACTGGTGGCTTTAGGTGTCCCTGCCTGGTGTGGCGAGGATGTGGAATGCCTTTGCAAGGCAATTCCTGGCTGGGAATAGAACCTCTCCATGAGCCTTAGGCTCCCTTCCCCCCGTCTGCTGCTTTCTCTGCATCCGGGCTATAGCCTGGCACATGTGAGCCCTTAAGTTATAAGCAAAGTGTGGTCGGGGGTGATTTATGAGCTACCTCTGCTGTAACTGATGTGATCAGCAAACCCTGTGTCACCTGGGGGTGACTCCTGTCACCCTGTGTAGATCTTGAGGACACGGACAGTGATGTTCCTGGTGTTTGCCCCAGCTCTGACGCAAGGCTGAGCAGATGGCATGTGGTGCTTGACTATAATCAGTGGTGGCTAATCCAATCCAATTGCAGAGTAATGGAGCTTCACAGGCTGGAAGACGGCAGTATTCTGCAATATGTGCTCCAAACACTGTGGCTGCTTTACCAAAACTACTTAAACACTGCTGCAGTGGTTTAAACCTTAATGTGAGCTCGTAGCCAAATATAATTTGTCACTCTTCCTACCAACTTTAAGTTAATTAACAACTTGAGCAGTCTAAGCCTGTACAGATCAGCTGGTTATTGTTATATTCTGACACAGGTAATTTTATACATCCATCTTAATCTGTTGGGCCACGGGGAGGGTCCCTCCAGGCCTGGATGGGAACAGCAGCAGACCTTTTAATCTCCATGTAGCTGCACGTGGCTTTGGCAATGGCTTTGCTCTGTTAGGTTTCTTCTGGGGTATCACCATCCTTGTGCTGCTCCGGGCTCTTGGTCTAAGTATTTCCCTGGGATGGAGGTTTGGGAGATGTGCTCTGGCCTGGAGGCAGGCATGAGGGCTCCTGGAGGGCGGCAGGGGCCGTGCTGAATTTCCCGGAGGAGATGTGTGGGACATTTTGTGAGCACAGTGGGGTCCCTGGGGCAGCGGGCACTGGGATGAGCCCGTGGCTTTTCTTTTGCAGGGATCAGCACCTTCCTCTGCCACGCTGACATGCTGGTGGGGGCAGCCCTGGTGACCGGCCTGGTGCTGCTGGTGGCCTTTGGTGCCCTCTGTGTCACGGCCCTGTGGGGACAGGCCCCCAGGAGGAGCCCAAGGCCTGAGGAGCCACCGGTGAGGGCCGTGGAGGAGCCAGCCATGGAGCTGCATGCCCTGGGGGAATGCCTGCAGCTCGACCCCTTCCAGCTGAAGCTGCGGGCCAGGGCCCCCGAGTGGCTCTGGAGTGTCCGTGCCCACCCTGGCCAGGCGGGACAGCGCTCCCCAGAGCCGCCTGCCCCGCTCTGAGGGGGCCCGGGCCTCCGAGGCCTGTGCAGTCACTCCTGCATTTCCCCGGGTTTCTGCCGGCTGTGCCAACCCTTCTGCTGTGTTTTATGGACCATGAATATCCTACAACAGTGTTCCTCATGTTGTAGCTTAATTTTTTTAATGCTTGCTCAGCTTGGGGAACAAAATGTTTGCTTCACGCTGCTGTGCGTCTGCTGATTTATCCTACTCGAGAGTTACACAAGAAAATTTAAAACTTTTTTTTTTAAGAAAAAAAAGGAAATAAGATGTTTTGGTTCTTAATATGAAATTAAAAATATTTCTGCATCCTGCTCAGTGCTGCCTGCTTTCTCCTGCCCCCAAGGCAGAGCTCTGTGGGAAGCCCTGGCATGACCTGAGGATCTGTGGGGTATTTCTTCCAGCCTGGCTGAGAAGCATCTCCAGAACTTGACTTAAAATTTTGGTGAGAAACCTGGTCAGGTTATGGCAGGTGCATCCCCACTCACTGAGTGATGGGGACAGCTTTTTTGGTGCTTGGTGGCATTTTTGGTGCTTGTGGCATTTTTGGATGCTGCCTGCACCATCCCCACCACCACGTCGTCCTGGCCGGATGTGAAGCACAGCTGCCTTTCCCAGCTTGTCCTGCAGCTGGAGCCTGGTAACTTCTCTGTTTGTTTGTCTTTTTCTTTAAGGGGGTTTCAATCCTTTTTCCCCGGGAAGAAGCGAGCGGCAGATGCCCCACTGGAGGGAGCTGTCTGCCACCAAAAGCCCGGGACAGGGCTGCCTGCAGCCGCCCGGGAGATGCTCCCAGAGCTGGGCACGGCCGGGCTGCGGGTCCCAGCTCCGGCAGGGCCGCTCGGGGGGGTGTCCCGGCGCCCTTTGGCAGGATGGGCCGGAGGTGTGGGCTGAAGGGAGCAGGATTGCACAGGGATATGCCCAGCTCAGGGTTTGCTCTGCACGGTCGGCTTAGAAGGGGCTGGGAATGGTCCTGCTGTGACTCTCTGCATGTGAGGGTACTGGCGAAGGAGTCAAAAGGGGACCTGGGGTGTTTCCCTAGGAAAATTTGCTTCCATACTCCTCCCCCCTCCCCCCCAAAAAAAAAAAAAAAAAAAAAAAAAAAAAAAAAGAGAGAAAGGGGCAGTTCCTTTATCTCAGCTGTTGGATTGCTGAAGAAGCAACATTTGCAGTATGGGGGGATTTGCCAAAGGATTAATTGAGCACAGATTGGGGCACTGTAAGTGCCAGTGTTGTCAGAACCAGGTGAGAGCACGGTGTTTGCGCTGAGGTGATAAAGAACAAACATCCTCCGGGCCCCTCTGGCGAGGCGTGGCTGTGCTGCTCTCCCATGACAGGCTCATCCAAATTAGCTGCCATCCAAATTAGCTGCCGCTGATGGGGCTCTGCTGCCTGCAGAGACAGGCGAGGCAGAGCTGGTGCCTCCCTGCACATGCTCCCCCAAAAGCAGCTCACTTCAGCACTGGTGCCATCTGGTTTGGGGTAGTGAAACAGAGAAAAATGGATCTCCCGAAGACACCCTGATCATTGCTTCCTTTGACATACGTGGAGCAATCACCTCTTACCAACCATTTTCTATGCATGGTTTTCAAAGTATTTAGTAAATAGCAGAGAATTAAATGCAAACATCTCCCTGGGAGGCAGGTAAGTGGGTGTAATTTTCCATTGTAAGGAGAAGGAAACCATTAATGTGTTTGCACAGAGTGTGCTTGTTTCCTCACTGGGATCAAAGAAAAGCAGTAGGGGCTAAAATAATACTGTCATTATCTTGGCTTTGGATTTGGTCAGTCACCATCTCCCCTTTTCCCTTCTTGGATCCACAAAGGAGGCTTGGGGGCTCTTCAGGTTGCTAACTCTTCTCTCTCCCAGTCAGGTAAGGTTTGGATCCCAAAGCCAAGCAACTGATAAGCAAATGGATGCTTCTGCTTTCTTCCCAGCTTTTCCAGGAGCAAGGTGAGCCTCACACTGTGCTCCCCTGTTGGAAGCCAGCTCCTTTAGTATAGCTGTAGTCTGCTCTGTAACCCATGGATGATGCTCCCATTGGATCACCTTTCCCTGCAGCTTTCATCCAGACAATGTCCTGCTGATGCACAGGGCATAAAGGAAAGCCTGGAGGGATGTGCCTGGGCAGGGCTTTCTGCAGCCAAACCCATCTGGGCTCTGGGTGCATGCAGGAGGTGGGGATGGCATGCTGCCCTCCTCTTATCTGGTGTGAAGTGACAGCACCTGCCCCTCATGGCTGTGCCTGGGAGAAATGTCAGGCTTTTACTGGAAGCACCTAAGGTATGTGTGTGATCTGTGTGTGAAACAGCAGGACAGAAACAGGGACCAAGCCCATCGTGAGCAGTAGTTAGCAGGGGTTTCCCCTGTTATAAAAATCCACCATTTCAGTCCCAAATAGTGTTGCTTTTATTTTCCACTATGTCTAAAGAAACTGTTTTGCCTTGTGAACTCTAGGCTGGCTTTAAGAACAGCCCATCCCTCCTTTCCTGCTCTCCCAGTTGAATTGAGAGGGGCTGACATCCCAGAATCCACAGGGCTGAGCAGAGGGGCAGGATCTCCTCCCTGACCTGCTGGCAATGCAGCTCCCAATGCAGCCCAGGGTCCCCTTGGCCTCCTTGTCCCCCAGGGCACGGCTGGCCCATGGACAGCTCGTTGTCCAGCAGCACCCCCAGCTCCTTCTGTGCAGAGCTGCTGCCCAGCAGCTCACCCCAGCCTGTGCTGGTGCCTGGGGCTGTTCCTCCCCAGGGGCAGGACCCTGCACTTGCCCCTGTTGAGTTCCAGGAGGTTCTTCCCTGCCCATCTCTCCAGGCTGTCGAGGTCCCTCTGAAGGGCTCTGAGCCCTCTGGGGTATCGGCCACTGCTCCCACCTTCCTGGCACCAGTGAACTTGCTGAGCAGGCACTCTGTCCCAAACTTCCTCTCCTCTGCTACAGGTCAGGGTACTGACATCTGCTCTTCTCTCACATCTGCTGTGGATTGAATTAATAGACAATAAAACAAGACAAATCTGCTGGATCTGTAAATCCGAATTTGCTCAGAGATTGACTGGAAGCTCTGCTGCTTCTGACATGGAAAATGAATTTGTCACCTCGCTGTGCAGCGCTCTGCTTGCTCACAGCCCTTGGCCATATGAAATGACACACTCTGGTGATTTATGGGCCACCACAAATGATTTTTTTCTTTTCAGTAGGAACTGTTCTCTCATGCATTATTGCTGTGTGACTGAGGTGTGTGCAGAGGTTTCAGAGAGTCCAGGATTTACTTGGAGATTGGGACATGCCCTAGAAACTGCAGGTGAAGAACAGTATTTGTACATCAGCTGATATTTGGGTTTTTTTGAGAAGACATTTACTCAGCCTGGTTGAACACATTCTCCCCAAATCCTTCAAGTTCATCTGACTGTTTTTTCCCTGGATTTTGAAGCAGGCAGGGCAAATCTCATCTGGTCCCAGAGCACTTGGACATGAACCGTCAAGCTAAGGCAGAAGATATAGAGGCACTTCCTTGTGGGACACCCTCATTCTATTTGCACCTACTTCATCAGAAAAGCCAAGAAAAATGGGAGATGCCTCATTCAACCTGTGGTGGCCATGGCTGGTACCTTAACCTGAATAGTAAAAGCAACAAATAAAGTGTGGTGACAATCACTGTGAGGGGAGATGCTGGACATAAGTTGGGTTTTCTTTCCTACAACAAGCAGAGAGCTGGGAAAGGGATGTGGGGATCACAGCCCACTGGGATGCCACTTGTGTGTCTTTGCTGCCCATCACTCTCTGCCAGCTGGTAGAGGCTGGTGTATTGCTGAGGTCATTGTCATGCTGAAGGAGACCTTCAGAGGCTCAGATGTCCTTGTGGGAAGTGGTGCATTTAGGAGGATACTAGAGTGAAAATGTGGGAGCGTGGCTTCATGCTGAACGGTTTGAATGGCATTAAGCTGTAATATAACCAGGGACAATCACCCCTGGAGAAAGTGGGGTTCGCCCTATCAGCTCAAGTGCAGAAGATTGTAGCAGTATTTTGTTGATTGGCTGAGTGATACTCCCTCAAGTATGTGACTGTGATTAAGTGGAGATATATCTGCGACAACTTCAAATTAATGAGGCAGAGCAGAGAAATGAGGCCTAGAGCTGTCACTTTTCTTCTAGCCTGGTCTAAAAGCCTGTTCTCCATCCCAGGGGGTGCAGCTGCAGCTCCCTGCCTACCCTGTGGATATCCCCTGAGAGTTTGATTTCTCTGCTGGAGCTGCTGCCACACACGCAGTGATCCCCTGCAGATGTCTGTGCATGCAAGCAGGGGCTCTGCAGAGATGGAGGCTTTTGGGGAGCGAGGAGCACTCTCTAAATAGTCATATTTCCTGGAAGGAGGCAGCACAGACTGTGAATTGGGTCTGTTCCCAGAGCATTTTAACTCACAAGTGATTAGCTGTTAATTATTATGCAATAAATTACTTAACAAATGAGTATTCTTCACAGCACCTATTGTGCCACATGACATCAGCTGAACTGTGTGAAATACACGTAATTACTGTCACAGAAATGTAATTATAGCTCTCCCCCACCCTCAAATTCTTGTGCGTCCATCAGCCATGGCATGGGCACTTGGACCAGGGCTCTGTGCAGACAGTGCCACTGTGCACCACCAGACACTTTTCCCGCCCTTCCAAGCCTGCTTTCAGTTTTCCAATGAATGTCGGGATTCAGTGTACAGCAGGCAAAAAAATCTGTCCTCGGCTGTGCATTAACTGTGTCTCAGTGTCAGGCTTAAAAACACCTTGAAGGTGACATTAAGCTCTCATAGTTAGCCTTAAAAGACAATGTTAAAAAAAATCCTACAACACATGCTGATTTCAACCCAGTTTTGTTTATAAGTGTTTTTGCTTTATAAGGCTTTAACATTAAAACCCTAAGGAAGGGTGCATTCTCCTGCTGGAGTACTTCAGTCCAAAATGTTTTTGCAGTGACCTAACTTTGTTTGTGGCCCTGAAGAGGGAGAGGTAGAGTCTCTTAACTGAGATCATCCAAATATTTGTGCTGGTATGTGCATTTAGATCTGCCCTTGAAATTATTCAACTTAGCTGTGC